TGTATCGTGATGGAGACACTCATATGTAAACAATACAGTCAGGCTACACACAAGCTCATTGTTCAGCCATCATCTTTATTGAACAACAACAGTGTACCTCAACGTACGAGGAATGTGACCTCACAACTATGGGCGGCCAAACGGGCCATCACGTAACATCTTCCTTCCTCTCTTTTTTTGTTTGCTTGTTTGTTTGGTTTTTTTTTAACTTTTATATTTTATATCAAAATTAAAACATGAAAAACATATGCAGTATAAGAATCCAATGAGTAACTGCAACACAGCATTGCAATACGCTGCAACAACATCAATGACGGTATAACGAATTATGTCGATATGGCTATTGATTATGAAGAGGGCAGCTTAAAAAAACGTGTATGACGTCACTTATGATTTGTTTGTATATAAGCACAGTGTCCAAATAATTATATAAACAGTGATGATTGCAATAGCGAGTCAATCATAGTCCTTTAAATAACTGGGTTTTCTAACAGTCCGTTTAGTTTTTCTGGTTGGGTGCTGAGTTCTTGTCTTATGCTGCATGGTGTTCTGTTTCACATTTGTGTTTACTTGTTGAGGTTGTGGATTAAGGTGGATTGTGTTCTTGTTTGAAACTTCTTGGTTGGTTGCTGGTACTTTTCGCAGGAAACGACGGTTACGGCGTAGCGTCCGTCCAGCCTGATTAACAACATTGTATGAACGTTTGTTCACTTGTGATGTCACTGTAGCTTCATGCCATTTGGTTTTGCCTGGCTCAATTGGCTGCATACGAACAGTATCTTCTATTTGTAGTGGTTTTAACTGTGGTCTGTTGCTGTGTTTCTTTGTTGACAATTGGCGCTTGGCATGTAGTCTTTAAATGTCGTCGTTGATTTCGTACATTGATGTGAGAGTTTTGTTTGTGGTTGGAAGTATGGTCTTTGTTTTTCTTCCCATTAATCTCTCGGTGGGTGTTGTCGTCATACCCTCCGTTTGTGTATTTCTGATGTTCAATAATCCAATGTATGGGTCTTCACCAGCACTGGCGCATTTCTTCATAAGGCGTTTAGCTACTTTAACAGCAGCCTCTGCTGCCCCATTGGATTGACTGTTACCTGGACTAGATAAGATATGCTGGAATCCCCATGCTGTGCTAAAAGCTTTGAAGTTGTTCGATGAGAACTGTGGTCCTCCATCGCTGACCACCTGATCTGGAATTCCATAACGTGCGAAGTGGTGTTTCAATTTGGTGATAACAGTCGATCAAGATGTGTCTGTTAAGTAATCAACTTCAAAAAAGGTACTGAAGTAATCAAGGTAATTTCTCTCTTTAATGACAAACAGATCGACTGCTACTCGCTCCCATGGTCTTGTGGCTAGAGGATAACTAATTAGTGGTTCTTTGGGCAGTTTGTTGTGGCCATGTTGCGCACATATGTCACAGGTTTCGACAAATTTTCTAATCTCTTTACTCATACCAGGCCAAAAAACTAAGTCTCTAGCTCTCCTTAGACATGCATTAATTCCCATATGCCCTGCATGGACCTTGTTCTTAATATCCTTTCTCATACTGGTTGGTATGATGATCCGCTCACCTCTCATGAGAATGTTATCCTGCATGGACACCTCATCTCTGTGATTGAAATATGGAATTAATCTGGAATCTAGCAGGCCTTTATCATTAGGCCAACAACTTTTGACTACTTGGCTGAGCAGGCACACTGTTTCATCTTCAGAAGTAGCCTTCCGTATTTCATCCAGTGAATGCCAGATTGCTCATAGCAAACACAGTATCTTCAGCAGTTAGTAAAGGTGCTCTTGACAATGCATCAGATAATATCATTTTAGCACCTTGAACATAGATAAGATTGAAGTCATACTCTTGTACCTGTCTCTTATACACATCTAGACGAAACATTTACATGAAACTCCACTCGGGCCGTCTCGGCTGAATCGACCCGAAAATCTCATTGCAGAATTCAGGAGGTCAAAAGGTCAACACATAAACGTCTACAGAACAACTTCTGAGAGAACGTCACTGTTTTTAAAAATACATTGATGTTACCATGTTAATACCTGTCTCTTATACACATCTAGATGTGTATAAGAGACAGTCTACACACTGCTTTAACATTTTTAGGTGGAGGCATATCACAGATAGATTTAATCTTCTCTGGATCAGACTGCAATCCCTCTTTGGTTATTTTGTGACCCATAAAGGTAATCTCCTCCAATTCTTTTTCAAACTTATCAGGATTCAATTTGATTCCAACATGCTTACATCGGTCGAGGAAGCTGTGCAAATTTTTGTCATGTTCCTCTTTCGTTGATCCATGAATAACCACGTCATCTGCAACACATACTACTCCATTCAAGTCATGAAGTGCTTCAAGCAACTTCCACTGGAACATCTCAGACGATACAGATAGGCCAAAGGGTAATCGGTTCCACTTATAACGGCTGTCTGAAACGTAGTAAGTAAACTGGACTCATCATCAAGCGTAATATACCAGTAGCCAGATGAAAGATCTGCTTTACTGAAAATCGTTGACTGACCTAACTCATGTAACGTGTCGTCCAGTTGTCACCTACGAAAATTCATATATAATATGAATGTCATAGACGATCAATTTGGATCGAAGGTCTAATGTCTGTCCAACAATGTACACAACAAAAAGAATTACAAACTTTTAAATTTAACAAATAGGTAAATCTTTATTTCTAAAGTAATAAGTCTTCTTTTTAAACAATAAACAACACAATACAAACAATACAAACAGACAACATTAAATATTAAATATCAAATTCGCAACCAATGCTTTTAATTCAAATCATAACATTACTTAGCAATGATTAATTTATAATGAAATATTGGCTATCCAAATCTTAAAGATTATCTTCGTGTATAGCCATAGCAAATAACTACCAGTTTAATTAATATATTATAACATTATTGGAGTAAATAGTAATGACGAATACTACGTCTCTATTTAATCACTGTTCTCGCTTAAACACGTCTTTCTTGATAATGCGTTGAATATCCACCATCATTCTTGATAGGTATAACTGATTACGATACTCTACGCTTTATCATTGGTTTCTACTTGAAAAATTCCATACAATAGCACAGTAGCTCCCAAATATTAGGTTGAAAGTTAGGCGACACTGTATTAAAGCAAACATGCATAAAACGAGTATGTCTTATAAACAATCACGTTATATAGGCCCATATGCACATGCAGCACATATGCATAAAAACACACATCATATGTATACATATATTATATGTGTATAAATACACACACATATATCTGTATACATATGTATATACATACAATTATACTCATAATACACATGTTACATATTGTACCTATATATCAACAGTAGGTTTAAAGATTATAATTTAATTATCCATACATTTACATTTACTGATATTTATATTATAATCAACTTTAAACATCCGTAAGCATAGCAATACTCTCAATTACTGTTTAAATACTCACAATGTCCACTACCGTACTGTAGGTTAACATAGACGAGCTCCACCACGTTCAGCTGCGAGCCTTGTCGGAGTTTCTATCCTAACTCGCCCCATTCCGTCGGTTTATAACGGAACAAAAAATACTTTATCACGGTTCTACCAACTGTGTATAAATTCACAAAGGCCAGGCTTATACAGTATCGTGCGTCCAATGCACACTGCGCCCCATGATAAGCTTACAATAAAACTGCTCGTCTCATGAACCTCACAGAATTGGCTGTGGGTTGACTCAATCGTATGATAGTAAATTTGAGAGTAATTCGAAAACTCGCGCTAGTCATTTTATATGACCGGCTGGCAACGGATTAACGCTTTATGCAAATTTAGTAACAATACAATCACCTTTTTGTCAATGACTAACAACTTGTTATTCACTAAGTGGATTAGCATATTATTTAAATATTAGGGCAACACGCATATGGTAGGGAAAAATATAAGTTCTAATGTGACACCAGTGTCCCCAGACTTTTTAGGAATAACCACTATGGCATTAACCCACTCAGTAGGTTGTGATACTTTAGAAATTACACCAAGTGTTTCTAATCTATGCAGCTCTGCTTTCAATTTCGGCTTTACCGCTACCGGTACTCATCTAGTAGGCATTATAACAGGTTTCACTTCAGCGTTGGCGACGAGAGCTACTGTTCCTGGGAGGTTGCCAATGGAAGTCTTATTAAATACCAATTGAAAATCCTCCAATTGAACGAGTGCTACTCGTTCTATGTTGTGCTCGTTGACATGAATCAGGCTGAGCCTTTTTAGGTCTTGGTAACCAATTAATGGGATTCTATCATTTTTGGTAACTACAAATTGAAGGTCATGATATTTGCCATTGGCTGGATTATATACAACTTCCTTGGTGACACCATAAGTTTTGAGTTGCGACCCGTCCCACATTGTTAACGTTTTCTCCTCACGTCTCAGGTTTGATGCATATCGAACTGGAATGGTGTTCACTGTAGCTCCTGTGTCTATGTTAAATAC